CGCCACGTTTACCTCGTAAGTGACTGCTGACCAGCCGCTGAGTGAAAACAGAACGACGCGGGGTGGGGTGGGTGGCGGGCTTATCGTCATAAGATATTCGAATACATGCTTAAAAAGCTTCAGGACTTTCAGTCTAAACAGTGAAGGCATGCTTCATGATACAGACTACTTTTATTTTATTCTCATAACTTTTTCCTTTAAATTAGAACTGGTATCAATCAATAGTTATGGATGTATTTTTAACTGGGGTACCCATATGACTTTTATGCTTGTCTCCTATAGTATGAAATAAGGTGCCTTTTTTAGCAGAACCTTTTACTTATACCCCATTGCACGGAATAGCACTGCTTAGAATTTTTTCTGTTCCCAAAAGTGTATGCAAAATCATTGCTTTATAGAAACTGAAGCTGACTCAAAAATATGATTTTCCGTAACAGAACCAATGTCACGTACGTATGGTGTTAATAAAACTAGCAATGCACAATTTTTAGTGTTTTCCACTTATCAGCTCGACATACAATTGTCAAGTGAACTTAGTTTCAGTTCCTATCTTGATTCGATCTGACCATTTTTCACTAAACCCTATTCTTTTCATTTCAATTTTCTTGTACATTTTTTTCATACGACAACGACAACGAGTTTTATATGTAAACCGATTTTTTGGTGTACCACGCTTGTATATACAAAGACATGAAAAAGGCCGGCTAAATAAGCTTCCTCCCCTGCTCCTAATTGTTTGGTTGCTTTCGCCCCATGCCTCTACACGACTCCCTGTTGGTTAAAAGGAAAGTTGAAAGACCGCTATGCAGGACACCTTTTCTTTTTCATTTCAGTTACCCTCTCCAATTCTTTATAAGTATGTAAAGATATAAAAAACACAGAGGTTTTCAGAAGTAAACTGTTTTTTCTTTGTGTACCACACTAAATATACAATATACTTTGTTTTAGCAAAATGGAGACTAAAAACGGCTGAATATTTTGGTTTCCCGTTTAAACATTACGCAGAAATGACGCGTGTATGTTCAAACTGTGCTAAAACCACGTCACAAAGTCAAGGCAAAACAGTAAAAAGTAATTTTCATTACCAACTTACAGTCTCCCCATTATAGACAGCAACAAGGTCCATTGTATCACTGCTTGATGGTGTAACTATCCTTCCAACGAGCACTGGCATTCATGGGTCATTTCCTTAATTTTTGACATTAGAACAGCTTTGGAATCTCTAGATTTAAATGAAAGCTCGTGGAAAGTACAGGTTTCCTTGAGCATGGAAAAAGTAAAATAGTTCAACTTTTCCTTCTTGACGTAGTCACACAAGTCATAAATGTGATAGACAATCGGATGCGTCAAGCCAATTCCTGTTACAACTGATTCGACGGTGTTCATGTGACTCGCTTCTTCCACGTCAGATTTATCGTCAACCTCGGTGGTCGGAGATGGACCTGCCATCCTTCTTCTCCTTCTCGAGGAGGACAAACAGGAGAAAAATCCTTGTATATCGGCTTTGTTTAGCCACTCTTCCCGGGAAAACAAGCGTTCCGTTTTTTCCCCCTTCC